TGGTAAATCTGAAGAAAAGACCCATAGGATTGCTTATATCATACTTGTAATATTTCTTTTAAGTGTGAAATCCTTCCAATAAGATTAATGAAAGCTTGAGTTCAGCATAGACAAAAATTAGGAGACATTTATAAGCAGAAGGTATCATAACACTGTGTATTCTGAGCTATTGTGTGGAGATGACTAAGACTAAATTTGGCTAATCCTACTTTGGTCAGCCCATTTGCTATCATTATAGCATAGATCAGTTCTATGGATTGGATAAAGCAGTAGTTTTTAAGCTATATAGAATCATTTTCAGGGTCAATTGGTAGAAGAAACATAATGAGAGTTCATTGGGTGGTATAAGTGAATGAAGGGAATCTAGTAGTACTAGAAAGAGAGAAGGATAGTGCTATGAGGGCAGTCTTCCTTAAACAACAATGTTACAACAAGTCATCATAAGTCAGAGATCCTATCGGGAATGCCTAGTTGGGCCCCAGTATCATCCAATCCTCCTCATTTTATCAGGTGAGAATACAAGCACCAAAAGTCATTGTGCATAAATAATAAAAAGTGTAAGTGTGTTCATATATATAAATACCACTCCATTCTTAACAAAAGAAACTAGTATCCACACATTCGTGCTTCTGTACAATTTGGGATAATATATAATTTTAGCTGTTTACAAATAACATGTTATGCTTCAAATATTATATAAGGTTGATAATACATTTCTGGCAGAAATAAATATATTGCACTTAAACAGAACTTCATTAGATGTTACTTCATAGTATTAGGCTTATAATTTCCCCCATAAAACATTTCCCACTCCCTTTTCCCACCCTACACTACATTACAGTGACTTTTCCACGCAATTCATTAAGCAAATGAAGACACAGCAAACAAGGAGACCTTGACAGAGTCTGCCGAACAAGTGATACAGAATGTCATACTTTAGCAAATAAAAGAAACTTTTCAGATTTCTGAAAATTAAAAAGAAAACCACTTAATACAATATGTCTTTGTGTCAAAAGTAAAATACAATAAATTGTATCTTTTGTCCAGATGTACTATTACACACACACACACACACACACACACACACACACACACAATTTATTTTCTTTACAGTATGCTTTCTATAAACAGGGAAGAGATTAAAATTATATGAGAAAGAGAGAGTCAGATAAGGAAAGCTAGAAAATACTTATGGATTATTACCCCATCAAATACTTACAAATGAGCCTTCCTATATTTTGTTTGCAGGGTAAAGGTAAACGTTTTGGCGTTTTATAACTAGTGTAGAATAGTAAGCTGTGATGAAAGGGTTTTATAATTTCTTAATGTTTTAAAAGTTCATAACCTTTTTATTTTTTTACAGCAATGTCTTTCATTCTATGACAATACAAAAAAAAAGTATATAAAACCCATACTTCCCGAAGTAACTCTCTAGAGGAACAAGCTAAAAACTTTTTCTTTTATCTATTGCTTTGTTAGAGTAAGTATTGTTTTGCTTATAATAATTATCAATTCCCTGCCCATTTAATAATGGAAGTACTTTTTCTTTCTCAATAGAATACTGAGTAAAAACATGAGTTTTAATGCAGTACGTTAGCCTGCTTGTTAATGACTAAGTCACCACTGTGCTATGCTTGCTTGTCTATCTAACAGAGTGTGAAGTCTTCCCATCCATTTTATTTATAGGCAATTTTTCTCAACATAATTGTCCTTAAGCAATGTAGCTTGAAAAGTTAATCTGAAATAGAGAAATAGGGTAAATATCCTAACATCTTTCTGAAACACTCATAGGCAATGTGAGATATAGGGTTTTATCTCTAATATTTCTTGAGTGTGTAAAGGGTTCCCTTTCTTTTTATTACTGTGTTTAGGGAGGAGAGTGTTGTATCTGGAGAAGGAAAATGGCAGACATTTGGCCAGTCATTGGGGAGGTAAGATCTTGGAATTGCCCAGAAGCCAGTACAGCTCTTACACAAAGCCCTACACAATGTTTCTGCTGTGTGAGGATTCTCTATCAAGTTTTAGATCTCTGTACTCACTCACTACAAATTCTAGCAACCCTTCCAGACAATTTACCCTTGTTACATGCTGCAAAGGCCAGCACTAGAGCAGAAAGCCACTGAGCTAGACAATGTGACCTAAAAAAATGTTGATATGCTAGACACAACTGGATGTATTTCCACAAGCACTACTAAGAATAGGAAGTGCTGGGATGACTCACTCAATAAAGAATGGGCACAACTCAACTTAGAATTATTGAGATATATTTTAAAACCAGAGCATAAGTCAGAATCCAATGAGCTATGTATAAGTCCATTAGAGCTCCATAAAGCCTAACCAAGCATCTTCATCAGCACTGTGCTTGGGCATGCAAAGGGGAGGAAGCCATGGTTTTATTCCAAATATATTTTAGATCTTACTCATTATTAGTCAACTAGATTTGCCTGTCAACTGGATTCACCTGTTAATATCTAATTGTTGTCATCAGTTTTGATGGAACGAGCATTGGGATTTTGAATAGCAAAATCCTCAGGAATTGGTAAGAATTGACAACCAGAATAAATCCAAAAGTCACAGGTGGCTCCTAGGCTGAAGTGCCAGGCACTCACATGACCCGACTTCCTTGGGTGGCTTCTTTCTGGTTTATGTAATATCAACCTGGGAAACAAACATGCAATTAGGAATTATAGGGAGAAAAATTTTCAAGAGCCTGTTTTGCTGGCTATCATGCATCCCACTCAGTTTCATTCTCATGTTGCAAATTACAGGCAAAATTCCAAGAAATACTGGCAAAAGATCATATTTAGCAAAAAGTGTTTAAAAACCCACAAACCTTAGTGAGGCACACAGATGGGGAAAACTACAGAAACAATATCAAAACAATCCTTTCATTCTTGTGGAAAAGAAAATGCCGACACACCCTCACTTTACCATCTTGGCACTGTCAGGGGCTGAGGAGCACCCTGTACAGTAGTGTCTTGGCTTTTTCCTGCAGCACTTTATTCCAAGGTACTTTTGCCAAAAGCCAATCATTAAATAGCAATCCCCTACCCCAGCTCTATGGGCATTTATTTTAAACATCACTCACTCCTGGTTTTTAAAAGAAACGCATGTCTGTACTTGTCTGGAAACCAACTGTTTGTAGACAAGACTGAATGACAATGACACACAAGAAGCCAGATTCACTGGCAGTGTCTGATGTGGGAGTTTAATATTGTTTTGTTGACAGTTCATGCTTCTTTGTAAGTCAGTTATGGACTTTGGTAGAGAATATCAAGTGCAAAATCTAAAGCCAGCCTGTCACACTCAGGATGTGTGTGGTTCCGTGTTTCATAGGTTGGACTTGGCCTGGAAAGTATTCCATACAGGAAAGCCTAACAAAATTACCCAACAAAATTGCCAAATGATGTAGTAAGTATATTGCATTTATGCCTAAATACACTTCTACTGTCCAGAGTGCCATTTCCTGTATCTTCTAGCACATTCAATACATTTGACACAGGAACAGAGTAGAATGAAAACTACATATGAAATTTAAACTAAAATAAAGTTCAGGGGAACTTTGTGAGGCAAACCAGTCATATCCTAAAGGTGGAACACATTGTCTTCAAAGCTGAAGGTCTAGTGACTTTAATAAATCTATATTATTAGGGAAATGTATTATTGCAAAATACCAGATTTGTTGTCCTGCCTATAAATGCTAATATACATGTTGTCCAAAAATAACATATTGGTTATATAGGAGTAAAACATAATCTCTAGTGTGTTTATAAAGGGAAAGCGTAGGAAGGAAGCAAGAGATGGATTAAGATCTACTTTGCTGGTCAGAACTGTTAGTGTTTCTGTCAGGGAGTCACTGAATTAACATGCAATTTCATGTCAGCGACTGAAGAAAATGGAAGGGAGTCTGTAAATGTATCACAGACAGACAAGAGAAGTAAGATGCAGGATACACTCATAGACATACATGAAATCATGGTGACCCACAGTGGGAGAATTGTCTTTGGCAAATCCTGATGATTATGGCAACAGCAATAAAGCAGATTTATAAAAAAAAAAAGATAATAATAAAATTTGTCCCAGTGTGTTTTAATATGCAAAAGACCGTCCAATACTGAAGTGAAAATGAAGGGGACTTTGGCTCCCATGGCAGAGAAATCCTCCTCGAAGAGAACCACCATGTTTTGATTGTAGGCTGTAAAGGAGAAACTCACCCATCACCATGCATTGGCTCTGGAGGGGTCCTCAGTGACCTCACCAGCAGCCTATTGTGAATACAGTGCCCAAAAGCCAACCTCTGATAATAACAGAGCTTCTTACTTTAAAACAGCATACTGAGGGTTTCCCTTACATAACCACAAAGTTTTCGCAAGAAAAAGAATTATTAGGAAAAAGAAAGAGGACTGAAGACCGAGCTTATGGTGTCACGGCCTGTGGATATGGTGGGAACTGGTAAAGATATTACCATATATTCATTTACACCACAGGATGCATTAGCATTGATTCTGCTCCTTCCCCAGAAAACTGACATAAAGGAAACTAAACATGCTTAAGTTACAGCACTACAAACATTTTGCTATTGCCTCCCATTTCCTACTGGGAGAAAAGGACTTGAGCATTTTAATATGCTATATAGTATTGCCTTCTGAACGATGCTTTGAACCTGTTGAAAGCAGAAAGAAAAACTATACACAAGGATTTTATACAATACTGCACCAACAGGACTTTTAACCACTATGAATAGCACACTTTGAGATTCCTTCACCTTAGATCGCTAAGTTTTACAACTAAACTGATATCCTGTTAGTTGTAGGAGTAGGTTAGCTAAACTTTGCACTGATTCTCTCCTGGATCCAACCACAAATGGATCCTGGCCCATGGTGCACTCCTGTACAAGTAGGTTTTAATGTGAGTCCAGCTCTCCTCTTTAGTAAATCCTGTATTTCCTGGAGAGCTCCTGCTCCAAATACCCCATATCCCACCCACCCATCCCTTTCCTATATTTCATACCCATTTGGACATCCTGGATCTAGCTCCCCCAACTCTCAGAAGAGTCATACAAATGGTGTCATCACCGCAGAGGAGTGGCGTAGTCCTTGAATGGCTGCATAGGGCCCCTGCTGAAAGTAGTGATGGTATCGAGGCATGTGGAATGAAGGGAACGTGGGACCACTTCCCTGCATGGAGCTGGCAATGGCAGATGGGGTCAACGGCATTCCCAGGCGGCTATATGGTGGCAGAGAACCCTGTATAGGGTGAGGAATGGGTGTCGCTATGGATGCTGTGCTGGTGCCAAGAGCAGTCAGGGTCTGTGGATGTTGAAATCCAGGAAAACTGGAAGATGATGATACCCAGGAACTGAGAGACAAATTGTCAGATGTTGTAAAGGCTGATCCTGAAAGAAAAGCACTCATTAGGCTCAGGCTGCTGTGTAAATATAATGACAAAGAACTAAATAAAATGATGAAGAGCTAAAAGTCAGTTTATTTTCTTCTGTTCTGGTTTTGAGGTAGGGTCTTACTATGTAGCCCTGGCCATCCCAGAACTCAATTTATAGACCAGCTTGACCTCAAACTCACTGAAATCTTGTCTGCCTTTGCCTCCCAAGTACTGGAATTAAAGGCATGTGCCACTATGCCCAGCTTAAGATCAGTTTATTTAAAAAAAAAAAAAAATGCTAATGTTCCACACCAAGAGTAGTTGAGCAACACAGGGACTCACTTTTTTAAAGAAGGGGTAGGAGATTTGACTCAGCAGTTGAGAACACTGGCTACTCATCCAGGAGACAGGTTCAATCCCAGTACCCACGTAACAGTTTACAACCATCTGTAACTCCAATCCCACAGGAATCTGACGCCTTCTTCTGGCCTCTGTAGACACCAGTCATGTACATGATACACATACATACATACAGGCAAAGCACTCATATACCACACACACACACACACACACATTTTCAGATGTGTGTGTGTGTGCATATTCATATGCATATACATATATATATATATACACAATACAAAAAAAAAGAAGAGAATTGGAGGTAGGGTGTGGATCTGGGAAGAGTTTGCAGAGAGGTGTTAAATATTATCAAAATACACTATATGAAATTCTCAAAGAATTAATAAAATTGTCAACATTTTAAAAACAGTAAAAAAAAAATGCTACATTGGTGATTCACAAAAACAAACTGACATGAGGTGTATTAGAGGGCAGATCCAACTCTCCAAATAAGAGGGCACCATTGACATCCTACATGGAAGGAAGAATAAACTAAACAGAAAAACACTCAGCTGACAGCATGGCCTGTATATTCCAGAGTGGCAGAGCAGCAGTGCTTTGCTGGAGAATATGACCTCATTTCCTTAAAGAGCTCCAAATATCAGTAGCACCTCTCTACAGGAAGTTGGATACTGTTCAACAAAGCCACCTTTTCCAAAGCCATCATTAGAACCCGAGGAATAAATTCTTCTATACTAGTGTTCAGAAGTTGAAACATGAGGGAATGCTGAATTTTCCAACTGAGTGATGGTTCATGGCTTCCATTCCCTGAGTTATAAGAAATGCCCTGCAGGAGGGAGGACCTAGGCCCTACCTCAAATGACTTGACAGATTTTGATGATCCCTCCTGGAAAGTCTCACCCTTCCTGGGGAATGGGTGGAGAATGGGATGGAGGGGGTGGGGGCAGGGGAAAATGGGAGGGAGAAGGAACTGGGATTCATATGTAAAATAAGAAGAAAAACAATAATAATTAAGAAAATAAATGCCCCATGGAACCATTATAGGTTTAAAGAGAAATCTCACACTAGGGGAATATCCAGAGATCTACAAGGTTGACCCCAACTAACAATCTAATCAATAGTGGAGAGGCTAGCTTAAATGTCCTTCCCCAATAATGAGATTGATGACTACCTTATATGCCATCCTAGAGCCCTCATCCAGTAGCTGATGGAAGCAGAGGCAGAAACCCACAGCTAAACACTGAGCCTGAATTCCTGGAATCCAGTTGCAGAGAGGGAGAAGTGATGAACAAATGGGTCAAGACCTGGCTTGAGAAACCCACAGAAACAGCTGACCTGAACAAGAGGAGCTAATGGATCCCAGACTGATAGCTGGGAAACCAGCATAAGACTGACTCAGAACCCCTGAACATGGGTCTCAGGTAGGAGGCCTAGGAAATCTATGGGACTTCTGACAATGGAACCAGGATACATCCCTAGTGCAGGAACAGACTTTGGGAGCCCATTCCCCATGGAGGGATACTCCCTTAGCTTAGAAACAAGGGGGAGGGCCTAGGCCCTACCCCAAATGACTTAACAGACTTTGATGATCACTCTCTGGGGAGTGGTTGGGGAATGGGATGGGGGGGATCTGTGGAGGGGATGGGAGGATGGAAGGGAATGGGAAATGGGATTGATGTGTGAAATAAAAAAAAAGAATATTAAATAAAAAAAATAAAAGAAAAAGAAATGCCCTGTGTCTTCACTGATTGTGTTGCTTGGTATTTTAGAAACACACACACACACACACACACACACACACACACACAAAGATAGAAATTCTCTCCCCATGTGACTGTCTTAGGCCCAAGGTGGGGCACCACTGACCTCTCTTTTCTGTCCTCCCCTTCTCTGGGGTTTTCTGTGTGCTATATTTTCTCTGAGCTTTCTGGTCAAGGGAACTTTATTCAGTTCTTTTGTGTCCCATGTGCAGTATGTATTAGACAACCTCAGGTGCCTTTTTTTTTTTTTTTTTTGAGAGGTGATCTCTCAGTATCTCAGTATTCTGGAGCTCACTTAGCAGGCCCCTTTGTTTAATTCTTATTTCAACTATTAGGGGCAGTGATGGCTCTTTGTCCTGATAATCCTCTTTTTAAAATATTCTTCATTTTGAACTTTGACCATTATAAGGTATTCCTAATTTTCAAATAAAGCTGAGATTCAAAAATAGTAAGAAACTGTCCAGAAATGTAACTGGTGACTCTGGCAGTAAGTTACAGACAAGCCCACATCTATCCTGATTCAAAGTCTGTGTTCTGTTACTAGCAAAATACACCACAGGCAGAGTAGCCACTCAAGCAAAATAATGAGGCATGTATGGATCAACATTGGAGACTGCCTCTTCTGAAAAGTCCGGAAGCCACTTATTGGCATGTGTTGCCAGAGGACCAGACATTCCATCAGCGGCAGCCTGCCTTTATTCCCTATCAATGGCTCTGGCCTCCTGAAGTCACACATATCCAGATGTAAATGGCCTTACCTCGATTTGGAGTTGTCTGGCTCTCTTCCCCCAGTACATCCTCTTCTCCATAGGTGCGGATGGGTGAACGGGCATAGGAATGCTTCTGGATCAGGCTCTCAACGCTCTCCCTGTGGAGCAGAGGAGCACACCACAGTTCACTTCAGAGAGGGCTTTAAGGGTAGTTTACTACTTTCTCAGCCAAAGGGGAAGACAACAGTCAAAACTTGTATGTTCACCCACTAGACAGAGACTTCTGGAACAAGAGTTCAGATGCCTAAGTGCAAATAAATACAACTAGACAGAACTAGAAGACACAGAGCAATGAAATATGGTCATAGGAAGATGGAATTTAATAAAGCAGAAAATTAATGAATGAATTTACTATAGGATGGCAATGAATCTTCTAATTAACTTCAGCAGATAATGATTCAAAAGAGAGATGAATTGATTCAATGTTTCTGGCTTAGGATATGATAACATATTTGGAAAAGTTCATAAGATTGGTCATAAAGTGAATTCGTGTTCACTAACAGTGCAAATGCACAGAGCGAATGGCAACATGAACAGTTTGGATAATGGGTGTAGTAGATCTTCGTTGTGTTAAAACTGAAAATTACAGAAAAGCTGTGAAGGGAAACTGAGCAGCCATTAAGAAATCGAGACCCTCAGAAATACTGCAGGGTCTTCCAAGAGTGCAAATAACTCTTTCGGCAAAAAAAAAAAAAAATAGCATGTGACCTAAAGTCAACACTAAATTGATCACCAAAAGGCCAAAAATGAATATTTTTTTTCAATTGTGCTTAATAAGAACGGAGAAGCTTAACACCCAACTACATACTGAAGGAGAAAGCCAATCAAATGTTACAATAGCTACTTTAATATAACACTTGACATTTCACATAGCTTTGTTCATACTTGTGAAAAATACTATCTAATTAACAGTGTGTTTGGGGTCCTAAACATTTACATAATCATGAAAGTGTGAGGAGTCTTATTCCTAACAGATGATTGGGAGTGACCACTTCTACACTTTCTAATGCTTTCTTGATCTCTTTTTGTGTATTGTCACACCAAAGTCACAATGCCCTAATTGCTGTTGCTGAAGTAGTCTTAATGTGAGTTTTCACCAGTACTGCCAACTTTTTCTATTCAAAATTGAATTGTTTTTTTTCTAGTTCCTTTATTTCTGTATAAATTTAGTATTCAGTGATTTATTTTTAAGCTTACTGAAATTTTAACGAGGATTGTGTCTGAGATGTATATCCATTTATAGAAAATTGACATTTACAATATTGAGTCTTTTTCAACCCATGAACAGCATGTCTTTCCATTTACTTATCACTAAAGCTAAATAAATTTAAATATACGGGCCTGACACATCTGACCACATTTATCTCAAAACTTTTCATGTTCTACTAAATTCTTTTTAATTTTTCAATTTCTAATTTTTCAGTTCTAGTAGGTATAAATGCAATTTTCTGCTGATCTTGTAACTGGCAGCTTTGCTAATACCTATATTTGTTCCAGTAGCTCTTTTAAAGATTTACATTTTGCATGCAATCATGATATCTATAGTCAGAAGTGATTTCAATTCTTTGCTTCTGTTCATAATGAATTCTATTTTAATATTCCACAGTTTCATAATTACCTGATTAGAGGTGGTCAGACCCACCCAGTGATCTCTCACACCCTGTACATAGCATGAGCCCCTGAACTTAGTGGATGCCTTTCATTGTACTTGGTTTAATGAAATTCAAAGATCCCTTCTCATCCCATGTTGCTGAGGAATTTTCTAAAATAAGGAATAGTAGATATTGTGTTTTGATTTTGGTTATTTTTTTCTTTTCTGTGTCTACTAAGATAATCAAATGAATTTTCTTTTTTAGTGTGTTAATCTAGTCAGTTATGTTGGGTGAACTTCTAGTGTTAAACTAACTATATTTCTGAAGAAAACGCTAACTGGTCATATTAATATCCTTTTGCTGAACTCAGTCTCCTAGAATTATTTTAAGAATTTTCCCATGTATATTCAAGTAGGAATATTATACTCTAACTATTATAATATCTTTCTTCAGGCTTAGTCTTAAGGTAACAATGTTCTCATAGCTTCATTTTTAAGTTATCCTTGGTTTCTTTTCCTGTTGCTGTGATAAAACAGTCTACCAAAGCAACCTAAGGGGAAAGGGTTTGTTTCTGTTCATAGTTCACGGTCCACCATGGCAGGGAAAGAAAACCAGGATGAACCTGAGGTGGCAGATCATATTGTAGTCAGTCGTAAAAGAAAGAGATCCATCCACGCTGTTCCACTTACACAATCCCGGATCCCATCGTGGGAGTGCTGTCACCTCACCCACAGTAGACGGGTTTGCAGTTTGCGCTAATACAATCAAGATAATCATTTTTGCTCTGAGGCCTGTCTCCTAAGTGAGTATAGGCCCCATTAAACTGACAGTTAAAACTAACCCTCACATAGTCCTTCCCTTCAGTTTTCTAGAAGAGCCTAGGAGTTTGAGCTATTGTACATTCTTTAAATATTTTGTATAAGCCACCAGGGGGCACCTTAGCCTTTATGGAAATGTCAGCTACAAATTCACAGCTATCAAATACGTTTCTTTTTGAATGACATTTCATGGGTTTTGTCTTCAAAAAATGTATTTAAGTTGTTGAATTATAAGTGTGCTGTTTATTTACTATATGATAATATTTCTTTATTACTCCTTGTCTTTGCTTCTTGTCTTTTTGGTGTAATAAAATACTCTGACAACAGCAACTTACAAGAGAAGGGTCTTCCCATCTCAATTAAGGTAATCAAGACAATCCCCCACAGGTAAACCATAGACCAGAGGTTTAAAACTTTCTAATGCTTTAATAGAGTTCCTCGTGTTCTGGTGAACACCACCTCCATAAAATTAATTTATAGCTGTAATTTTCTACTGTTAATGAATCATAATGTAAATATCTGTTTTATGATGCTTTTAGGTGACCCTGGTGAAAAGTTGCTCTACCCCCAAAGGATCAAAACCCAAAAGTTGGAGCCGCTACTGTAGACCAACCTGTTCTGGACAGTCCTTCAAGAAGGTTTTATAGATTAGAGATTAGGCAGATGCAACCGCAGTATTACTCCCCACTTGCTTAGTAATGGGGATTGTGTTTCCTTCCTGAACAGTTTTACTGGAGGAATATCAAGTTTATTAATTTCTGCATTAGTGTCTCACTATTTTCTCCCCTTATTTTCTACCATGTTTTCTTTTACTTTGAACCTGAAGTTTTCTTTTCCTAGTTTCTTCAAAGTTGAAGATGTAGGTTGTTGGCCTTAGACAGTCCATCATTTCTAAAGGAAAACTATACTACTCAACATCCCACATGTTTTCCTTTCCATTCAGTCCAAAGTATTTCCTAACTCTCCTGATATTTTCCTCATTTGTACCTGCTATATAGTTTGCAATATTTAGGGATTTGTCAAGGTATCTTCATATTAGGGATTTCTCATACTGTTCCTTTATTGTCAGAGATAGATTTCATCAGACTCGCATATCTTTTACTTTACTGAGCCTCACCATGGTAATTGTTCTGTCATACAGAAAGCATATTCCACTACTGTTGAGGGGGTGCTTTCTAAATGTAAACTGGGTCGGACTGGTGAAGTTATTCAAATATTCTGACTCTTTTCTAATTTTTTGCCTACTTATTCTGTCAACTGTTGAGAAAGGGGCTTTCCAACTCTAGTTGGTTGGTTGGTTGGTTGGTTGGTTGGTTGGTGGGTGGGTGGGTGGGTGGGTTGGTTGTTTCCCTTGTTGTCCTGCCAGGCCCAGAGTTCGGATATCAGATATATAAACAGGTATGAGAGAGTACACTCCTGAGAATGAGATGATGTTTTAGCCTAGTCAAACCTATTTTGATATTAATGCAGCTAATCTAGTTTTCTTCTTTTCCTTCATTTTCTTTTCTTGAGACAGGATTTCATGTAACCCAGGATGTCTTAGAACTACCAAACCACCTTCCTCTACTTCCTACATGCTGGAACTTGAGATTTGTGCCATTGTGCCCAGCTAGTTTGGTTTTCTTTTAGTGTTGATTATTACATTTATTTTCTATTACTTTGCTTTCAATTCATCTCTTTATGATTTAGTGTGTTCTTTATGGGCATCAAAACAAAGCAAAATTCTCTGTCTTTTGAACAGGGCATAGCCTATGAGCAGGTGATGCTCCTGCTGGCTGCTGGTGGCTTTATTTTCTGTTGCTTTGTTGTTTTTATTTGTTTTCTTCTATCTTTTGCTCCTGAATTTTCCCAGATGCTCTTTATCCTTTTCCTCTTTCCCTTAAGGTTACAGCTTCACACTCCCTCTTTATCTCCCTTTCTTGTTTAGCATTTTAGTATTTATAGCTTCCTTCTTTCCCTCTGTTATTTTATCTATTGTCTTTACAGTTATAGTAAATATTTAATTTGTTATAATCTACCTTGAAGTGATACTGCACCTTTCAAGGATAGCAGAAGAATCTTTCAGTTCCCCGCACTTGCAGTTATATATTTAACTTACTCCTTCTAGCTTTGTGCCCATTATTATTATTATTATTATTATTATTATTATTATTATTATTAATTGTTTTCAATCAGTGTTTCCTGTATAGCTTAGCTTTGGAGCCTGTCCTGGAACTAGTTCTTGTAAACCACACTGGTCTCTAACTCACAGAGATCCGCCTGCCTCTGCCTCCCAAGTGCTGGGATTAAAGGCATGTACCACCACTGCCCAGCTCTGTGCCCATCTTTTAAAACACGGTATGTTTTACAGATTCTGTTCCACACTGTTACAACTTTTAACGAGATAAATGATATGTAAACATTTGGTCTATCCATGTCCTTTGTATTTTAACCAGTCTTTGTTTCCTCCTGGAGATCCAGAATGGGTCGTAATACAACCACTTCTGCCTGAAGTGTTTCCTTTAACCTAGTAGACCAACTTGATAGTGATGAAGTCATCAGCTTTCTTTGTCTGGAAAACAACCTTTTCTTGCCTTTTGCTTTTAAGAAGTCCTTTTGGTAGCTTTTATAACTCTAGCTGACCGACTCTTCTCCTCAGTTCTTCTAAGATTGTGCCTTACAAGAACTCGCCGTCCTCCTTAGCTTTGT